CTCCTCCCCCTTCCCGGCGCCGCGCTCCTGGTTAACCATTCTCCCGGTGTCCTCGCCCGCAGTGCTTGGCTGCTGCTCCCGGCAGCCTTTTCCCCCGCCGCCTCCCCCCCTCCCGTCCCCTTCCCGCACTCGCAGGGAAAGCCTCGTCCCAGCTCCCCGGGCTCAGCCTGGAGCCTCATCCGCAGTCGGTGACCTTCACCGCTTTCTCCTCTCTTTATCAGACCCAAAGCACCAGACCAGATCGAGGGAAGGGGCTCCTGGAGGTCCCAGATGGCCGTGAAACTGCGCGGAGTGTCGTTTCAGGGAAAGGATATGTATTTTCGGTCCGTGAACTTATTTAATGTGCCTCTTTTGAAAGTACCTGCCCTTGACGGGCTCCGGCGGGGAGCTGGCTGGCAAGGGCCTTGCGTGGGGCAGATGCAGCTGCCCCGGGTCAGGTTTCATCGCTGTTGGATTTCGGGGGGTGCTTTCTTCTCTTCCTTTTTAAACAAAGCCTTGAAGTGGGGAGTGGATCTGATGGTTTTTATTACTGTATTAACATTCATTTTAATTCATTTCAGAAACTAACCCATTTTTCTTCCTGATTAGAATGTCATAGAATTAGACGAGCTGTAACACTCCTGAAGTGCCTTATTTTCCTACATGATATAAATATATTTATAAGAGTAATTATTCCACTTGTATCTTAGGGGTTTATTGCTGAGCAGAAGATGGGGTGGGAGGAGAGATGGGAAGTGCCCTCGAAGGACCCAGCCAGGCCGGGGGTCGGAAGGGCGATGTTTGACGGATACTCTCAGGGTGCAGGGGGTTACTCGCTTCAGACCAAAGGAGTTTCGGCAGTGAAATTCCAGTAAGGAAAAAAAAACAAAACCCGACAACAACAAAAAAACCCACCCCAACCTCATGAGCAAAATACCGTAGGCTTGTTTTGGTTTTCTTACCCCTGCAAAATAAACACCGATGGCCAGACTCTGCCGCCTCGTGTGCCCGGATGCAGGGGGCGTAAAGCTGCTGCCGCTGGGGGAGCGGAGCCCGGTCCGTGTCCGTACCTGTGCATCCCGGCGCAGACTCGCTGCCTTCTGTTTTCCCGTGTAATGTCTGTCTGTGCTTTTTCCCTGTCGGTTGCTGTGTAAGCCAGGCTTTCCTGCTGCTTTTTTTTTTTTTTTTTTAATAATCAGCTCAGTAACCCCCGGATGAAGATCCCAATTGCAAATTTTTTTTGTAATGTACATGTAAAAAAAAAAAAAAAAAAAAACCCCAAAACTTTCAGACACAAAAATTAAAGGAAAAAATATTCCTTTTAAAATAAAAGATTAAGTGTTTTCTTTTCCAGTGACAGAACCCAGAATCCTTTTAACTAATTTGTTGAGGAAATATGCCACAGTGGAATTTAGTATGACTGATTAAACTATGTTAATACATTTTCCAGCTTTGGGTCCCGAGTCCCATTGCCCTATCTATGACCTTTCTAACTCAGGAATTATGTTCCTTGTTCTACTAACAAGCATCCATCCATGCCACAGGATATCGTGGTTGAACAGAAATTATTTGAAGTGCAAGCACAAAACTAATGTGGGGAGCCTGCCTGCATTCGGCGTTTCATCCAGGGCGCCCGGGCCGTGTCCTGTCCGCAGGTGCCTGGGCAGAGGGATGAAGAAAGCCAGCGGGTCCCAGGCTGCCTTGCAAACACCGTCCGCGTAGAAGCCTCTTCCAGTACCAAAACGCAGCCGGGCCAAGGTGGGTTGAGGATTATCGATGGTGGTAGCTAGCGCTGCCGGCGCCAAGGAAGCGCTATCCAGGAGGAGCTACCAGCCTC